ATAAATTCACAAAGTTAATGGGAAATATGTACATATAGAGCTATATTATTTCAATATTCTCTCTCCTTTTTACATACAGATTCCCCTAAGTTTTGGGAGAGGATCGAGAAACACTGAACTCAATTACAAAAACCCAGTCATGATGGTTGTCAAATACCAATAAAGATCACAACTTGATACCCTAATGATTGAGTGGAGATAAGAAAGAAGAAGAAGAAGAAGAAGACAAAAAAAAAAAAAAGTAAGGCCTATATACACCCTATATTTCATACATTTATATACATCCTAGAAAATATTAAAAATTGCTATGTGATTGGATCCCTATAAATGCGGCAGCTCTCGCTAAGGCCAAGCACCTTCTGAACAAGTTCAAACATCCCGAGGAGCCAGGAATGATCTGGTTTTTCTCAGACGAGAACTTTGTTCAGGACCAGAAGGTGAACCGCAAAAATGATCGGTGGTTGTGAAAAAATCCTGGTGAGGTACCTACAGTCATGCAAACCAAATTTCCAGCATCATTGATGGTTCTTGCTGTTGTCAGTAGTGAAGGTGATGTCATGCCTTCACATTACTCCAGGTTCCAGAGTCAATGCCGTTGCTTACATCGAGGTGTTAGCCACAGTTGTCAAGTCTTGGATCGTTACTGTAGCACGTGGGACGCCGTATGTTAAAAAAAAAAGATTCAGTACCCTAAAGAGAACCAGAACAATCCAAAAATGGATGGCCGAGAATATTCACGACCATGTCACACCTAACTTTTGGCCCCCAGTTCACCAAATGTCAATCCGCTGAACTATTACATGTGGGGCATAGTTGACTCCAATAGTCATTCCCACAACACAGAGCTGCTATAATGGATGCAAACATTCCCAAGACCCATCTCATCACTGTCTGCAGTCGACAGCCTATAGAAGCTGTTATTGCCGCTTATTGCGGGTTCATTGAATGATGTCATCCTTTAGGCGTGTGTACATCTATAGAAAAATTTAATATGTAATAAATGCTCTTTTCCCCCTTGTCTCTTCATTTTTTTCCATGGACATAATTTTGTTTATAGTGCCACGGAATTCTAAGATTCCTTTGGTATTGTGTGTGATTTGGAGTATTTCTTCACATTTAGTGTTTAAACACCTAGAGAATATGTTACCTCACAAATAAAATTCAATTGAAAGTAGACATCATTTATTTATAAAGCAGCATCCATATATAAAACTCTGTGTATGTACGTATGTTATGGTTTGTCGGCTATACACGTCCACAATTATGTAACTAATCTGGCTGAAATTTTAACAGTATATAAAGTTGAATCTGAAAAACTTATAGGCAAATTTTCAGGCTTCTATCTTGTATTCTATCCCTTGTATCAACATAGTATGTATATCCCGAAACGGCCAAAACTTCAAACTCTTGTTTACTTGATTTAATTGTTTACTTTTTGTTAACTTTATTGTTTAATTTCATTCTTTGAATAGCTTATATGTCAATCTACACATATCCAACTACCTATATATGCAAAATTTTCTAATGGTTTATTCAATAGTAACAAAAATCTATCTTGGACAAGGATAGGTTCAGTAAGAAGTAGATGTTTGCCCCTTAAATTTGATTTTTAATGAATGTTCATTAGGTAAACTTTTACTTGAACTGGGTACATATAAGAATAAACAGAATATAGGTGTCCTAAACACAAGGTAATAAGACACCAAATCTAAATAAATAGTGTGTGACGTTTCGGTAACAGCCTTGTTACCATCTTCAGACAAAAGTATTGAATAAGAAATTTGACCACAGCATGTTTTAAAATATAAAAGTCGGTGGATGAGAGGGTAACACGCTCAATTCCCGACAGTCATGAACCTGGATTGAATCCAGCATTAAAATTTGTTTAATAACCTTCATATATTATTCACTCTTTCAATTATCATGAACTAGGTTGCTCTTGTTGAGCGGTACCTATTAATGTGAATTTGAACCAGCATGTTTTAAATAGTTACTGTTATCAAGAGTGTAAAAAACATGGCAGATAAGAAGATAATTTTCTGAGAAACACAGAAGTCTGTGATTGTCTGAAGATGGTAACAACGCTGTTACCGAAACGTCACACTATTGATACTATCATAGGTGTCCCAAATTTCCTTTCTCACTAATCTTTATTTAATAAAAAAGACCCACTCAGAGCGGGCAGTTCCCAGTATCGAGCGATCATCAAAGGACCACAAAGATCCAACTTCACGCTCAGGGAAAGGCCCCCCACCTCCTCATCGCGGGTGGCGTCCCGTCGAAGTTCGGTTATCGAACTGCGTACGAAACTTTAGAAATGATCCCTTGAAGTAAGGTCATTCAACCTATCCAAGCCTAAAAAATCGACCTTATTCACATTTTTATTAATTATTAAAACGGCATTTAATATTTATTTAAAACTATCGAATACTTAACATTTAACATTCGTTTATTGATATTTCAAATGTAAGCAAAATTTGTAATAGTTCAAGGTTCTTAAATTTTTATTTTTAAAAAATAATCGCTATTATTGATTATTTCTTTTTTGTACTGCCCTCTATCGTTAAAATTTTATATTTATATATATTTGAGAGGGTTTTGTAATAAAAGTCGATGATAAAATATGATTTAAAATTTCAAAGGATATTATATTTCTCTTTCAGTTTATATATATATATTAGATAATAAAAGGCATATTTAATTAAATATTTATTTTGCCAATATTTCGGCTGACTGAACGCCAACCTTTATCGAGGCATTACATTTTTGATATATATATATAGAGAGAGTGAGAGAGCGAAACTTAAAAGGAAGTTGTACCTTTCAGCATGTACATCGGGATTCAGACAATAACTCTGCCGGCTATACATGTCCACAATACGTAACTAATAAGGCTGAAATTTTTACAGTATATAGAGTTGAATCTGGAAAAACTTATAGGCAAATTTTCAGGCTTCTATCTCGAATATTCTTGGAGTTATTAACAAATTATTGACAATTTTTCCCTATTTCACTCGCAAGAGAGAGAAAATAGAGGTAACCCGGGTTCCTGGAGCATAAATCGCCAACTACCCGGGCTGTACAGCAGTCTAGAGGAGAAGTCTAGTCATGGGGAGGGCAGATTGCTGAGGTGAACCAGGTAACCAGGTAGTTCCAGGCCGGCAGGGAGTCAGGAAGTAGGGGCAGGGCTGTCGGGCTGAAGTCTTGTACTCCAAGCAGTAGGGCTGTCTGTAGCCTGTGTAGCATAAAAGCTGGACAGGAGAAGAGGAGGTGATCCACAGTCTGTGGCTCTTCCCGGCAGTGAGGACAAGTTGGATCTATATCTCTATGCCAGAGCGCTAGATCTGCCAGAACGTGGCCGTGACCGGTAAGGATGGTAGTGGTGGCCATCCCAAGACGTATTTTGGACAGGAATGACCTAAGGCGGATTGGGGAGGTCGCAAATCTTTTTAGTTTTCTGTTATGGTAATCCTGGGTGTAGACTAAGGTCCAAGCTTCCATAGCCGATGAGTGGGCACGGCTGCGGGCAAAGCTTTGGGGAAGGATGGAGTAGGATTGTTCCAGGTTAGAGATTGCGGCAGTCTTTGCTGCCTGGTCAGCCAGTTCATTGCCTGCAACTCCACTGTGGCCCTTTACCCAACAGAGGCTGACCTGAGGTGCTTGGTCTAGCGCTAGAATTATCTCGGCAATTAGAGCCGTTTGTCACTCGCAACCAACGCCTCACTGAGGCAACCGCGAGAAGTAAAGTTGAGGAAGGATGGACCACGTGGGGCGACGGGGATTGGTGGAACGGGACGTTTCACAAGAGTGACCTTGAGTGACGTAATGATGGTGTAGGGGCAAGAAATCACTTGATATCATCATTTTTATCTATATATCAAATTTAAAATATATTCATATACAAATCAAAATAATAGAATTTTCAAATATCGTTGTGAAAATTTACATTTTTATAGTTTAAAAACACACAAAGTTTGGAGAGGGGCGTTTCACAAGAGTGACATCCACGGCGCCAATTTATAATTGTAACGAATAGTATTTGAATAAAAACATTTAATCGGGTAAAACCCGGGCGTTGCTCAGGTCATTCGGCTAGTTTATATATAAAATGAGTTAATTTCACTTTCAAACTAATATTTTGAAAATATTATAATTTTTAAAATTTAAAATATGCCTTTTAATTACTAATTATATATTGATTGCTCAATATTCAAGAGGATATTTAATTATATATCATAGAGTTTAAAATGAAAGATATCTAGATCAAAAGGAATAATACTTGTTATCTTTTTTTTTTTTTTTTTTTTTTCAAAGTTCGTTTTGGAACGTAAATAAAAAAAAATTAAAAAATCATCTCGTCCTACTCAAGATATGGCAAATAAGTAAGTCTTCAGATTTGATATAATTTAAATTGGACAAATTTGGTTGAAATGAGGATGCAAAGTACGTTTGGATTAAAATAAATAACAATAATACAACAACAACAAAAAGCTTTACTAAGAACTTTTGGTCGTATACAAATTCTCCAAGTAGAAGAGGGTATAAAGAGGAATAACAGTAATATTAACAAAAATCAGCAATGTTATCTATAACGTATCAAAAGAAGCAATAAAGGACTTAGCATAAACTTGCAAGCAATCGAGAGCAAGCAGTTGCGTTTCTTAAAGAACAATAATTAATAGTATTGGCGAAAATTTAGATTAGTACAAGTAAAAAAAAGAATATTTACAACCATGTATTATACAGATATGTCTTATACAGCCTGTACATAATTATAAAACATCTTTATAGCTTTATACATGAATGGGTCAAGGGTTTTCTAAAGTCGGATAAATAATACTAATATAAAGCAGTAGAGATTACAAAATCTGAAGGTTTGTAGCGGCAAGACATTTTCCCAAACATTTATTAAAGCAACGACGTCAAATTTGCTTGTCAACATTAGTGACGCACTTCTGTTGAGGTCTTCAATTAGTGTATTCATGTCTAGCATAAATCACGTCAGGATGGCCGAGCGGTCTAAGGCGCTGCGTTAAGTCTACTCTTGTAGGCGTGGGTTCGAATCCCACTTCTGACTTTTTTTTTGGGCTGAAAAATAATACACTTTGGTTAGTAACCCGTAAAACCATAGTATCTCCCCAGCGTAGTATTTTGTAAGTATGGCCTCAGAATTATTTGTTATTACTTTACATATTGTGATTTACATTTTGTTTGCAGTTAAGGTAAATTTGAATGGATCAAGATTGTGTGGAAGTTGAAAATATTGGAACCTTCAGATAAAACTAGGAGAATCTGCAAAATATTTATTAAACTTAAATAATTTTGAATTTTATTGATTGTGTTGATACAGGGCAAGTATTTATTTGGTTATCTCCCAGCTTCCTGGAGCTTCCAGATTTCATGGCGTTTATTCACCCGGCCAGTGGAGCCACAATTCATCAGATAACACGTCAAGAAGGTTGATTTTTTAGAATATTTTCTAAAAAGTATTTATTAAAAAGTAAAGTCACAAGGCCTCAGCTGAATGTGATTTCACTGAACCTGGATGATAGAAAAATCCATAATTGAAAGATTAACAGATTTTGAAATGGCTTATATGCAAAATGGTGGATACATCTGGTGTAAGGAAGGTCAAATGGTATGGAATCAACTTTCGGAGACATTCTATCACAATCCGAGTGGCTTCCGGAGTTCGACAGAAATTACAACTATGTAAATATCGTTTGACATGTTTTCTCTTTTTGAGAGAAATCAAGTTTCAAAATTTTTATGGATTTTTTATAATGTAAATGTATAGTTAAATTCAACGGTAAATTGTTGGATTTCTAAAATAAATGTTTAGAACCTCTTTTTTTTTTTAATGGTGTTGTATCTTTTAAATAAAAGTATATTCCTTTATTAATATATATTTCAATTTGTTGCTATATAAAGTTTAGTGTGTGTTTTTAATTAGTTTAAAGGTAAAAAGTTATTTTCTCTCGTTTATGTAATATACATACTGCAGTAGACTCTCCTATAACGCGATTTCGTACAACGCGATAAAAAAATTGCGACAAATTTATTTAAACAACGCGATAACGCGTTATAAAATAAAACAATTTACCCTAACAACATTCGCGTTATACAAGTTTTATTTCGTACAACGCGAATTCCTATAACGCGATTTCAAACAACACGGAACACCGCGTTATAGGAGAGTTTACTGTACAGTCGAACTTGGATAAATTCAAGCCCAAGGAACAAAAAAAAAAAAAAAAATCGAATTATTCAAAAATTGGAATCAAAAAGGTTTGGAATAAAAGTGTAGGGACCAAGATTTGAATTGGAATTATCCAAGTTCTACTGTAAAATAAATATCTCACATATAAAATGGGAAATACAAAGAGTTTGGTAAACCTCCCATGAGAGACTGCTCACAGAACCTAAATGTGCCTGGTTTCTCCCGGAGGTGACATTTTAGTGGAGGTTACGTCAGGTCCTCTATGTCTGTCTGTCCACAAATCTTGTGATAAAATGTCCAGAGCACATAGAAGCTTTGTACTCTCAGCCCTAGCTGGGTTAACGTATGTGTACCAATATTCTACCTGTGGTCGGGAATCTTCATCATTTCTTTCAAACGCAGAAAATAGGTGAATTATTAATAAACAATTTCGCATCTTCTTTTCTTTTTCGCTTATTTCCATCTGATTTTATGTTGATCAACTCAATAGATGATTTTTCAGAGTTATCTTAAACTCTTTTATTGCATTGATTATTTGCGACACTTCTAGATTAAAAATATTTTTCAATTCATCTCTTAATTTTTTAAAGTTATACTAGAATTATTTTGTATATACTTTTCAAAATAAAATCTAAATCACTTAATGAATCGCTTTCTCTATTAATTTTAATTAGCCTTCTTTTTAATAATTCTACCTAGCAGAACTATAATTGATGTTCAATAACTTAGAAGTTTTTGCATAGTTTCGTCTTGTAAGCATACCAACTTGATTGAAGTTTCCCGTTTTCCTTTTCATATTGTTTGATACTCTATTCATTTTAAAATCAGTAGAAATAAGACGATAATATTTTAATATTATATTTAGTGTTGTCATAGTTGTGTTTTAAAGTGTCTTAAAATAAAGATTATATAAAAAAGTCCATGTGTCTAAATTGAAAATGTCTAAATAAAAATGAAAAATGTCTAAATATAAATTTAAAATGTCTAATTAGAAGTTAAAAACCTATATATAAAAGTCAGGGTATGTATGTTTGTCGGCTATACACGTCTACAATACGCTATCATTTTATGTATATATCAGATATAAAATATATTCATATGAAAAATCAAAAATACAATTTTCAAATATCGTTGGGAAAATTTACATTTTAAAAACACAAAGTTTGGAGCGGGACGTTCCACAAGAGTGACATCCACGGCGCCAATTTATAATTGTAACGAATAGTATTTGAATAAAAACACTTAATCGGGTAAAACCCGGGCGTTGTCCGGGTCATTCGGCTAGTGATATATACAGTAGAACAAACTCTCTGTAAAGGACAACACCTAATTGCAAAGCCAAAGTGTCCATTAGGGAGAGGTGTCCTCTTACTGGAGAGTTGCTAAATAGTAAAAATGGTAATTGTGCATATATATGAAAACTGTCCTGTATATAAACTGGTTATTTTATAAAAAGTCCTAAAGTTTAGAGTTTGCATAAAGCTGGGTGCGCGCGGGGATAAGTTTTATTTATTCATTAAAAACGCTATTTTCTGTGCAGATATTTTCACGTAAATGTTCCAACCATTTTATATCCATGTGTGTTTTCCAAATATAAATATTTACAAATCACACTTCGCGGTAGAGAGAGAGAGGGTAGTTCACCTTTAAACAAGACTTTCTAATGTTTTTCAAACCAATTTTTTGGCTAAATGTAAACAAAGAACATCATTGTGTATAATTTTCATGCCATTTTTTAAACTTGGTATAAAGGAATTAAATATAAATATTCTAAAGTTATATATATATCATTTATTTATTTGAAAGTAAATTTTGAAATATTTGTATATATTAATTTTATATTCTCTCAGTGTATAGCTTAGATTGCAATATTTCCAGGCGTTATATTAGAGTGCAATATTTCTCTAATTAATATTCCATGAGATGTGGTTACAAACTTCAGAATATCATCCAATATTATCTCTACAGACCTCACTACAACGGTAAGCGTTATTGAATGACAGGGTTTGGCTCATCAGTGGCAAACCCTCTCAGCGGTTTCGCCAAATTAATCTCTAGACCGCTCTACTATTGTATTGGATTGGTTTTGTTATATACCCTGTATTTACTATGGAAGGCAGTTTAGGGATGTTTAGGTAACCAATGGACATAATCTTATAGGTCTGTAGAGGTGCTTACATGGGATTACAATAAATTGCACCGAGAAATGTTTTCCCGAAAATATGGTTTTATATCAAAGCTATTATCAAGTTACACTCTTAATATCAATTGCCATCTATTGATAAAATTTGCATACATTTTTGGCAATATGTTTCTCTTTTCACATATATCATAAATAATCATCTCTACAGACCTTATTGCAAGGGTAAAGATTATTGAATGACAGGGCTTGGCTCATCAGTAGTGAACCCTCTCAGCGGTTTCGCCAAATTAATCTCCAGAATGCTCTACTATTGTATTGTTCTCTTATATATCCTGTATTTACTATAAGGGGGATTAGAGGTGTTTAGGGAACCTATAGACATAAGCTTATAAGTCTGTAGAGGTGCTTACATAGAATTACAAGAAATTGCACCGAGAAATGTTTTTCCGCAAATATGGTTTCAAAGCTATTATTATCAAATTACATTTGTAAATTCAATTTCCATCTAACTAAAATTTGCAATACCTTTTTGGCAATATGTTTCTTTTCACATATATAATAATATATTTTATCTCTACAGACCTTACTGCAAGGATACAAGTTATAGAACGAGAGGGCTTGGCTCATCAGTAGTGAACCCTCTCAGCGGTTTCGCCATTAATCTCCAAACCGTTCGAAAATTGTATTGGATTGTTTCTCTAAAAACCCTGTATTTACTATGGAAGACAGAGCTTAGGGATGTTTATGGAACTGTATCTAGAAATTGCATCTTCTAATTCTATGTATACACATCTGCAGACCTATAAGCTTATGTCCATAGATTCCCTAAACACCTTTAATCTGCCTTTCTTAGTAAAAATGAAGGATTTATAAGAGAACCAATCTAATACAATAGTAGAGCGATCTAGAGATTAATTTGGCGAAACTGCTGAGGGGTTCACCATTGCCTTCTCATTCAATAACTTTTACCATTGCAATAAGGTCTGTAGAGATAACATTTGGTGATATATAAATGTAAAAATAATCACATTGCCAAAAATTATAAGTTTTATCGTTAATGGCAATTGAGTTGCGAGCGGATATATGGTGTCCGTGTACCAGAAGAGGCACCTCTCCCTTTAAAAAAGCATTAAAACAATGTGCTATCATTCTGATGGGATACTTGGAGTTTGTCATTGATTGAAATCAGTTATAGTTTAGGATATATCGTTATAGATTTGTGTCTAATATTGTGTTTGTCATATCTATAAGTCCAGTGACTATAATCCCAGTTTCTCCTGGAGGGCGTCTCTCATTAGAGGTTGAGTTCTGTCAAAGCAAGCAATCCTATATGACAACGGTGGTCGCCTATGGGAGGTTTTGCTCTTTAAAGCCACACATTTTTAGATCTATTGAATATAATTCATAAAAATATCAAAAAACCCAATTAGTTTATTTATTACGAACGTACAAGGAAACTTTTTGCTAAGATTTTTGTGATATTTTTATAAAAGTACATCGCGATTCTGTGAATATAATTTTATAGACTTCAGTCAAAAGTTAAGGAATAAATAAAGACATAGAGAGAGAACCATTCTGAAATAAGTTAACCAATATTTCACCAATTTAAAACTTCAGCGAACCAGCTTAAGCAGAAGTAGCCTGGCGTATAAATGGCCACTCCAGGCAGAAACATTTGTTCTACTTTCCATAAGTTTACTATAAGTTTTTTCCA